GCTGAGCCCGGAGAACTCGGCCCCAGGGCGCCGCCTAGAGGTCGGTCGCGGCCTCGGCCTTGCCGGCTACCGCCGAGCTAGCTGCCTCCCCCAGCTGCCCCAGAAATTGCAAACAAAACAAAAAATTCCAAGCTTGAGCCAGAGGCTGGCTTGTGGCACCTCTGACTTCTCCGTAACGGCCTCTCCTCTGCCCCATAAGAAACGTCAGCAAGGAGACGGGCCAGGAAGGCTCAGACACACTTATTCTTTGGGCCCTCAGGGGAAGAGGGGCTCAATTCCTGTTTCTTTCAGGACCTGTGTTCTGCGCTGCCTCTTCTCATCCGTCTAAACTGTCCAGGCCCCTGCGGGGGTGCTAGAACTGCTTCCTTTTCAAGGAAGAAGAGTAGCCAGAAGTCCCTGAACCCTGGAGTTTGGCCACCGATTTTCTAATTTGGAGTTGGACATGTTTTTGGAGGAGTGTTTGGAAAACGTCGGAATTTGAAAGTTGGCTTCTCTGGGACCAGGTGACCTTGAATGGAAACAGTGGCATCGGTAGAGAGGGTGTGAGGAGTCCTTTGGCTCTGTGCAGACTTTTGATTTTTCAGACTGAGCCATGGCCCGGGCTCTGGGACGGCACAAAGCCCTTAAAAATGCCTGCCAAGTGTGTGCACGTGCACAGGTGTGTTGCACAAAGGCTTGGCCTCTTTCATTTTTCCCAAAGAGCCCCAGGGAGTGGCGGAGATCAGGCTGGTAAGGGGCTGGGAGCCAGCACCGCCCTAGCCCCAGGAGGGGACCGAGGTCAGTCCTGATTAAGCCTGGCAGCTGCTGGACCGAGGTCAGTCCTGATTAAGCCTGGCAGCTGCTGACCCCTCGGTCTCCCCTCCGGCCTCCTCTCTGGCTCACAGCAGCAAATCCTAATATAAGTGACTGCATTTTCCAATGTAAAACGTATTGTACGATAAGCAGCAAAACTAGGGAATGGGGATTTGTAAAGCGGGGGAGATCTGGAGGCCGCCGGCGGCAGCAAATCCTGGAATGTGAATATTGGATGGAAAGAAGATGCTTCCTGTGCTCCCGCTGCTAAGAGCTCCCCCTTCCTCCCTCTTGGTTCCAGGAAGGGGGTGAGATCCCTTCCACCACCACAGGGCTGCTGAGTCCCTGCCAGGCTGGGGCGGAGCAGGACAGCCTGCGGCACACTTAGCCTTCCAGAAAAATTCAAAAGTGCCAGAACACAGCCAGGTGTTTCCTAAGACCATTGCATTTTTAATTTTTTTAATTGAGTGATTGTACTGGGCATTAAATCTGGGGCCCTTGCATTGAGCTATATATCCTCAGCCCCCTTTTCTTCCTTTTTTAAAATTATGAGAGTATCATGCTAAGTTGCCCAGGCTGGGCTCGAACTCATGATCTCCCGCCTCAGCTTCCCAGAGTGCTGGGACGACAGGCAGGCACCACACCACGCGCATGTCATTTCTCATCTGTTTTTAAAAGAACATCTCCAACAGGGCCTGGGCACCTTTTTCTGGTGGGAGGGTGGGGCTGGCTGGGCAGGGCTGCACCTGTGAGGCTGTGGGATGCCAGCCCCCCTGCTCCCAGTGGATCTTCAGCTCACCTCGGAAGCTGGAGCCCTGGTGTTGGGTGGCTGAGTAATTTCAAGGTGGCTTCTGTTCCTTTGTTCCCCCGCCCAAAAGAGCCGTGTCCTGGCCCGTGAGGTGGACAAAAGCAACAAAAAAAAAAAAAAAAAAAAAAAAAAAAAAAAAAAAAAA